GTGGGAGTGTTGCTGTGGGGGGACACTCTCCTTCATGCATTGTGGGGGGGGGTAACTGTTGGGGACACTCTCCTTCATGCATAGTGGGTGTGAGGGGGTTGCTGTGGGGGACACTCTCCTTCATGCATTGTGGGAGTGTTGCTGTGGGGGGACACTCTCCTTCATGCATAGTGGGTGTGAGGGTGTTGCTGTGGGGGGACACTCTCCTTCATGCATAGAGGGTGTGAGGGTGTTGCTGTGGGGGGACACTCTCATCATTTTGCCATTTAACCTTTAAAAAAAAATTCTGATAAAAAATGCGTTAGAAAAATTCCATGACAGCGGTTCTCAAACATTTGTTGTTCCTGGTGACCGACTGAATCATTTGTTAGAGTTCAATGGTCTCGTCACTGTTGTTCATTCAAAAATAGAACCACTTTTTGAATTTAAAGAAAGTACTTATTCAACGTGGCCATCCAATTACCTCCATGTATAAGCCAATTACTTATCCGCATCGTCATCCAATTCACGGATCCAATTTAAAAAGAAAGATTTCTGTTCAGATATCTGTGCCATGCATTTTGAAATTTAAAAAACAAAATATAATTCATTTTATTTATAAACGTGTTTTAAAACATAATTATTTTAAAATAGAAATCCATCTATCCACCAATCCACTACTTCACCATATGTCCATCGCTATATTCCTCCGCATCCATGATCCATCCACCCATTCATTCCGTGTTCTACTCCCCTTGCCTCCATGACATTTCCGCTTTCCTTTTCAGCGTGACATGATCCACCCACACCCCACCCCCCACACACATGATTTGGCGGGCTTATAATAAATTTTCTCACATTAATGCCGGAACTCATCGGGCATTGGCAAGCAGAACTGAAGAATGAGAGAGAAAGGAAATTAGGAAAGACGAACAAGAAATACATACAAGAATTTCTGAGCGGGCGTGCGTGTGTGGGATGATGCGATTTCTGTGAGGGAGTGGGACTGCAGGCCGGGTTTCTTACCGAGGCTCGCACTCCGATGTCCCGAACAATTCGTAGTTACGGAAATGAGGGCCAGATATGTGGATCTTTGGCCATAATTGATCTTCGATAACTTCTTTGTAATCACACAATACGACGAGGGTTCAATAGTAGTCAGTGGATCTCAAACTTCAGTTTAGGGGAAAGATCAAGGACTGTTGAAATAATTGTTTAATAATATTTTTTTTTTTTTTTAATTTGTAAATCTTTGAGACATTTTAAAGAAGGAAATTGGTTTTTAAATTTT